TTCTGCAGCAACTGAGCCAACCAAAGCTCAACAGTAGCCAAACCCATTGCTTTCCCTGGGCAAACCCTTCTGCCAGCACCAAAAGGAGCCAACCTTAGATCAGAACCCATTATCGCAACATCTTCCTCCATGAACCTCTCGGGTTTAAACATTTCAGGTTCAGACCAGACCCGTTCATCATGGGTAATGGCCCACATGTTCACCATGGCTGTCGTCCCCGCTGGAACCATGTGTGGTCCAACCTGAGTGTCATGGATTGCAAGACGAGCCCAGGAAAGAAGAGGGCCAGGAGGGTGAACACGCAAGGTTTCCTTCACAATTGCTTGGAGATAAGGAAGATTAGGCAGATCGGAATCTGCAACTGCTCGACCATGTCCGACAACATTATCTATCTCAGATTGCGCCTTGGATTGAATGTCCTGGTGCAACACCATCCTTGCAAGAATCCACTCCAGAAGGATGGCCACTGTGTCTGTTCCCCTAAAAAATCATTTCCTGTTAAGAAAGAAAGAAAGCTTCAAATGATGAGCTAGGGAAACATTAATCTAATTAGTCCCACGCGTGGAGCAACATAATAAACAAGGAAAATTAATAAAAATTGAGATATGTACCCAAAGAACGGCTATCATGTCAGCATCATTGAACTTGTTTTCAGATTCCAAATCAAGCAAAACATCAACAAAGTCGCCATCAGAAACTTCAGCTTCTTCTCTTGTATTCTCCGATCGTTTCTCTCTGTGTTCTACAATTATCTTGTCAACAAAAACATTAACCTTGGACACCAAATCTCTGCACCTCTTCCTCACACCTTGGAAGTCAAACCAGCTTACAACTGGGAAATGGTCACTCCAGTTGAAGATTCCGAGAAGCTCATATCCTTCGCTGACTAGCTTCTCCAGCACATATCCATCACCAACATGGAAGTCGTCATAGGACTTTCCGAATACGGACATCATGACGGTTGTTCAAGGAAGCAAAATGAAGGATCTTTTTCACCTCAACGATGCCTTCGTGTTGCATGGAAGATGAAACTTGATCCACCATTTTCAATCCTATCTTCTCTCTGAATACCCCAAACCCAGATACCCTTTTGGGGCTAAACAAATGGGTGGCAGAGATTCTCCTGAGGTTCCTCCAGTAATCACCATATGGAGCAAAACCCATGGCACGGTGGAACAAAAGCTCATAAGCAGACTCCTTCACTGGCCTGTCGGCAAAAGCAGAACTTGAAAGTATTTCTTTGGCGGTTTCAGGGTGGCTTGATATGATGAAACGTGTGAAGCCGACAGAAAAAGCCATTAGAGGTTTGGCATTAAAGGCCTTTGAGAGCTCGGCAAGGGTTCTGTGTGTTAGAGATGATGTGAAGGCGAACACAAGGCCTAAAATGGGGAACCCAGTGGGTCCAGGAATGGCTGTTTTGATCGGGGTTTTGAGAGAGACCATGCTAGGCCACCTGGAGCAAGAACGAACGCAAAGATGGAGACAAAAACAATAGTACAAAGGAAGAGCTCCAAGCTGAGCACAGATGAAGCTGAAGGTAGAGTATTGTAAATAGCTGCTGAAGTAGACATTTGGAGAGGAGACAAAGAGAATTGGTGGAGTGATGAAGCAGAGGTCCTTACATCTATTATATAGGAACGAACACTAGAGGAAATACAGCTTGGTGCTACTTCTTAATTAGAAGAAAAAATAATGGTAATAAAATATGCGTATCATTGCATATTTTGTAAGCACGCGCGTTACACACGGATATAAATTCATTCGATTTGTTACCATGTATAGATTTAGATTCTCAATATGTTGCTTCTGATTTTATAGACTTTCCTTACATGTTTGAACAATATTTTCTTATAAACATTTCTACATGTTTGAACAATATTTTGAATTTTGAAACGAAGCGTGCTTTTTATTTTATTTTATTTTTTAAATATATTTATCAAATATTTGCATTTAATTTGAAAAAAAAAAAAAAAAAAAAAAAAAAAAAAAAAAAAAAAAAACATATGAACGGCAACTTTATTAACAAACAAACATCAAATTTGATCCAATGAAGTGAGAGAGTTTGGCTGTCGGCAATTTTATTGACAAACGTACATCAAATTTGATCCAAAGATGTGAGAGAATTTGAATGACATCAGCCACATTGGTTGGCTTTGTTGCTATGTGAGCCTAATTCTCTATCATTGGGAGTGATCATTGGTTGCTTCCTTTCCAAGTATTTAGGACAATGCAACATTTTTTATTGTTTTATGCAATTTCATGATGTGTTTTCTTCCAACCTCGTTATCTCCTACATATCCACTTCTAACGTTCGAATTCTTTATCTTAGCACCTAGATCATGTAAACTTGACCTTGCCTCCGGGAAGAACAACTTGTCTTTCTTGTTTTTTTCATTTTTTTGGTGTATTCTACGTTCCATTTTTCCTTGTCTCATCTTATCTTTTTCTACTGCGAATTTATATTTTTATTGCACAACTTTCTTTCTAAACATACAAAAATCATATATATATATATATATATATATATATATATATATATATATTATATATATATATATATATATATATATATATATATATATATAACATATGTTGGGTTTTAATACGAAATAAAAGTTTGTTTTTCATAAAAACTGGCAACGGAAGACTTTAAAAATAACAAGTTTATTTTTAGTTCATAACAAAACTAAATCATCATGGATCTATTTATAGATATTATAATGAAATAAAACCAATCATATGATGTTTTAGAGATAACCTTTAAAGCCTTTGAACCCACTTGGTTTTGGAGTGTTGATGAAGATAACAAAAGATCAAAGGGTATGATCTTTTCTACAAGTATCCACCATCAAAAGTAAGACACTTGAAATGCTAGTTTCTTCCTGTATTCTTGAGTGTCTTAAACCTTTAAGTACTTAACTCAAATAAACACTAAAGGGGACAACTTAAGAGGTCTTCTAAACCACCAAACTAACTTCAAAAGAGAGAGATGGAGAGGAGTAGAAAACCCACAGTTTTAGAGAGAAAGAAAGGAAGAAGAAGAGTTTCACTCTTGCAAAAATGCAAGCATCATGACTCTCTTATATAACCCATGGAAAATAAGGTCTAACCATTAAAATAATCTAAAGTAATAGTAGCCTCTAGAAGCATGGGAGACAAAATATGGAAGGTTGAAAAAGCAACCTCCTACACCATCATTATGTCTTTTACAAATTAAGATTCTTTATTTTTTTAAACTCCAAGTTTATAAAATATAAACTTTGTTCTTAGGTAAAAGACAAAAGAATTCAACTAGTCCAAAATATTGTGCATGACTTATTAATTCATATCATATAAAATAATAACTAGTAATACTCTCTTATAATTATTATTTTCACAAAACAATAATTATTCTCCAATTAAAAATATAAGAATTGATATTATTTATTAATAATCATATTAATAATAAATATACAAAATGTGTCAACTTGATAAATGTGTGGCTCTATAGGATCATATATTATTAGCAATATCACTCCATAATGATTCTTGGGCATATAGATTCAACAATCTCTCAATTGCACAAGTTTCATTATAGATTGACATAGACAATAGTTGACGTCTAGCAAAGGGCTACTGCCCCTAACAACATATGAAGGATGTCATTTCACCAACAGCTAATTCCAGGAGCTCTAAGCTACAATTGTTACTAAAGGTATGGGATCAATTCTTCCTTTGTCTCAGACATGAGATATGGATCACGATCAATCTCATTTAATGTTCAACTTTAACTAAGACCTTAGATGTCATGCTCTCAACGAATAAGAGGGACAAATCTCATATTTACTACATACACCCATCAATGTAGTTCATGTCATACCCAACGATGGCCCTTATGATTGCCTTTTACGAAACAACGTTAAACCATGTCAAAGCACAAAAATTTCTACACCTCAAGTCCCAAATATGTATCTCAGGTCTAATAATACAAAGATTATCTTGACTACATATGCCAATCAATGTAGTTCATGTCATACCCAACGATGATTGTTATGACTGCTTTTTACGAAACAGCGTTAAACCATGTCTAAGCATGACAATCCCTACACTTTAAGTCCCAAATATGTATCTCATGTCGAAGATTAAAAAATACAACATTGATAGAAACATCACTCTTACTACAAACAATATGACATTTAGTGGCATACGGTTTTAATGGTATATATTTTATGCAACTATATTACGTTTTTAGTGACACATTATGTATATGCCACCAAAACATTAATGAATTTAATGACATTTAATATTTTATGTCACTAATAATCATAGTTATTTATGGCATATTTATATAAAATGCCATTAGAAATATAGATTTTATATCGTACAATTCATCATATGCCACTAAATGTATTATTATAATTTATTCAATTCCACTAAATGTTAATAGTTTTTGTTCAAAACTTTCCTACACTAATTTTCCATTCGTTTTTATGGTTTTGAAAGGAGTGCACCTAAAGTCTAAGGTTTTAAGATCGTCCGAATTCTAAACTCTCGAAACCTAAATTTTATTGTTTAGGTGTTTAATCACTGTTGTTTGTTAAGTTTGTCGCAATCATCTCAACGCAATTGCAAGAGTCTCTGTATGATATCTCCTTATCTTCGCAGTCGCAACCACTCGTGAGCCACTCATTCCCGTATTTGCAGGCCCTCTCTATGATATGTCCTAGCGTTTTCCCCCATTCATTGCCTTCTAGTAATCACAGACACCTCTATGTTGGCTTTGGTTAATCGATTATTCATATCAAACGATTAAGGTACCATTCAATGATTTAATACTACTTCATTTGTTTATTATTAAGGAGTTTACCATAAATTTTTAGTTTCTTATATCGAATAGATAATTTAATTAGGCATATATTTAACTAAAGTTGCTTCTATTACAAGTTGATTTGTTAGGAGAGGCTACAATTGAAGTTGTTAAGCTGAAGTGACACATACAAACATTCAGAAGGGGCTTTAAGGTAATTTGCAAAGTATATACCTACCTTACCTTTTTATGGTTAAAAGTTAATTGCAATTAAAAAGTATATTTTTAGCCTTGTTGTGGGTTATCGATTTGGTCCACAACTTGGAGATATGTTTTGCTACTTTATGTTCTTATTTTATTTAATTCAATATGATTGAGTTTTTTTTATGTTATAGTGTAATTTTTGTATGTGCAGACTTTAGAAATTTTCCTACTTGAATGCTCATAGGATATTTTCTCTTTCTGTCTCTTTCTGTAATGAAATTTTACATACTCTAAGGTGAGATAACTTATCATAACCTCAAAATCTATTTTAACTAATGTATTACTTTATTACCTTCATCTTGAGCATAGTTGTATATTATTTATTATAAATTTAGTGTTACCCTCTTTTACAATGCATGGACATGCTTTCACAGGAAGTAGTCATATTTTTTTTTTGTTTAAAAGATACATATTATCTCTAACGTATCCTACTTACCAACTATTGCTACTTGTTGTTCAAACTCATGCATATTAATAGTCTAATGGTGATTGAATTAAATCTAATTTAAAATGTGTATGAAAAAGGAAACTTAATAATTTATTTTTTGTATCCAAAAATTAACTTAGAGTAAAATAATTCCATAGAAGTTGTAGAATTAGAAAGTCGTGACTTTAGTCATTTCAATACATAATCAATGGTTTACTTTTTGTAGTATAACAATATATGTTATGTGTTTGTATCATGTATCTTGGTCATTGCAACTTGTTAGATTTGTATAGTGTTCATGAAGTTGGGGGTTATCAGTTATCACATTGTTGTATAAATTTTGATGAATGATACTCTTGATTCCTTATTGTTCCTTGAACATTGTGTAGAAAGGTGAAACCAATATTTAATTCTTCATTTCCTAAACTTAATTCTTAGTCTTGTAACTCATTGGTGATCACTCATGTAGTTACAGAGCTTCAACAAGACACTTATAACGTCCCTTTGAGATGAAGAATGAAGTTTTGTTAGTTACTTCCTTTAAGATTTTGGGTAGATCAAAGACTGGTTATATGGTTTGAAGTTTGCCTTTCTTATTTATATTAAAAAGGTTCACTGAATAGTCCCAACTTAATCATTCAAAGCATTTTGATTTCAATGTTAATAATGATACTAATGTGCACTTCTTTGTGCTTGTTGCAGGATGCACTCAAGTAAATGGTATTTTTTTCTGACAAGTGAGGTGAAACTACCTATATACCCATCATTTGCATTTTTCTCCAATCAACTTGTTCTTATAGTTGTTGCTAATCATCTATCACTTTTTTTTAACTTTCATTAGGGCTAGATTGTCATATGAGAAATTTGGTGCATTTTTCGCAAATAAGAAGGAATTAAACTCACACAAGCAAACAAATGAGGTATGTGTAAGCATATGCTTTCTTGTTTCATCATAAATAATGTACT